GACTTGGGGCCACTTGGCTGGTTCCAACTGCAGCCCCACAAAGAATGCTCTCAACAGGAAGGATTTTATAATTATGAGATAAGTAGAAAGTTATGGTTTAATAGGCCACTTGCCAATACTGAGAGAATACTGTTAACTTTTCTTGAGGCATATTTATGGTATTAGAGTAATATTTGACAAGACGATAACAGAAAATTTTATGGCATCTGTGTATAAGCAGACACTTAAATGGAAGCAACAGTGTTATAGAAAAAGAGTAAAGAAACAGCAAATGAGACCTCGAGAAATTCCCATGAAAGTCTGGAGGGAAAAGTGATATAGAAAAACACACACACACACACACACACACACACACACACACACACACACACACACAAGAGGTCTTACTTGAGAGGTAGAAGGAGTATCAGAGGAGGGTTAAAATCATGCCGTCAAAGCCAGAGAAGATTCGAGAGGAAATACTACACATAAATAAGTTAAAGCTGTAATTGGTACATGGATAAAGTGTCAATACATACTGTTCTTATGATGATAGCTGAGAAGAAAACAGAGTAGAACACTGCTAAAAAAATCGTTCTTGGAAATAATGTAGAAGGAGCCATGTTAACGTGACTGGAGTAAATGGAAATTAATAGACACTGAGGCAGTATTACTAAGCATTCTTTCAAAAGTTTTGTCCACTCTGGGAGGGAAGGAGAAAAAAGTGGGCCAGAGTTGTGATGGTGAATAGAGGCAGTATTTGTGACTGTGACAATGGAGGGAGATGATGTTAGGATCAGGAGACCCTGACGGATACTAAGGATAGTAAGGATCCTCTGAAAAGATGGATAAATACACAAGTTCTGAGCTAGGAGAGGGAGAACTTGGGCCACCCATGTAAGGACTAACCTCTGGTGAAGGACAGAAGGAGAGGAGGGATGTCAGGGTCAAACGTAAGTGGGGTGGAAAGGGATGCTTACGAGTTCCCTTCCCTGGAACTCGTAAACAGAATGGTTGCTGATGCTGGGAAGAGAGTAAAAACACTTGCTGCACAAGTCCTGAGTCCTGATTCCAAGAATGCATGCCAAAGCTAGGCCTGGTCACCTGCACCCGTAACCCCAGCACTGGGTGCTGGGACAGGAGGAACCCTGGGGCTCACTGAATCTTCCTCTGACCTTATCAGTCATGGACACAGGCACATGTACATATACACACACATGCATATGCCACACGCAAAAAGTTAATTAGTGAAATGAAAAAGAATGCTTGTTTATATCCTCTATAACATCAGACACTGTTCACTCAGTGTTACTCTCTATCAGTAATGAAAACAATTTTAAAAAGCAATACAAGTTGGCAGAGAGAGGATAAGGAATGATGAATACATGAGTCATTATCTCATGTTTAATATAGTAATTAAATGAATATGCCTAAGATTAACACAAGCAGCTTGGAAAAGAGGAGAAAGGAGATAGTGACAGGTTCACAGAAACACATCCCTCTGTCCCAGCACTCAGGAGCCTAAGTAAGGAGATTTCAAGTTCAAGGCCAGGCTAGAAAGACCCTGTCCTAAAAATAGAAAGAGAGAGGGGGAAGGGAGAGAGGGGGAAAAGGGAAGGAAGGGAGGGGGAAAGGGAGGGCTCAGGACCAGAGTTCGGTCTCGATCCTCCAGTGTTGTTCACTGTCTATAACTTCAAGGGATTTCTCTTCTGACTTCTGAATACACCAGACATCCATGGACATACATACAGGCAAAACACCGATATATGCGTTTTTCTTTTTAATCATTCTACACCATAACTTACTAGTACACTTGTCTGCTAGCAAAATTCACACAAATAATCTAACTTTTTAGTTTTTGCTTAAAATGGAATAGTAAATTTTAGAAATGCTACCATGAGTCAAATGACAAAGAAGAAATTGCAGTTTATTCTAGCACCTTTTAATGGGACCCCTCCTTTCTTTCCTCTAAGGTTTGTTTTCTTTCAGTTGGGAATGGAACCCATGGCCTCACATGTACTCTTGAAAAAGAATTTCCTCCTGAGTCTTTCAAATTATGTAACTGGCCTAAACCCTGAAGACAAGTTCTGGGAGCATAAGATCCTTTGCTTCTTGCAGAAAACAGCAGGACAAATATTAACAGTTGCCTGTCCTATGACTATTCTCTCCCTCTTCGCTAACACAAGCTCTGTGTCCTCTGAGATGACAATGTGTACTGTTTAAAATGAGAGCTACTATTTTCTCCCAAATGTTCTTAGTTTTTGTTTTTGTCTTTTTTTTTTTTTTTTTTTTTTTTTTTTTTTTTAACCAGGGCACCTTACATTTATTAGGTTGAATAGCCATTCTGAGGAACTAAATGGCCCAATTCCAGCTAGTGTTAGGAAAATTAAAGTTTAGTAGCTGGGGGATATGGGAACATTTGATTTCAAAGAGAAAGAGAACTAAGCTGGTGTGTATACCCTTCATCTGCTTTTTGACTTTGTGACACCTAGAGATCCCAAGGCATCTTGAGGCATCAAGATGAAAGTTATATGATAAGAATCACAAAACAGAACCTCGTATGTACAGTGGTTTGGTCCCAGGCATAAGAGAAGGAAAGAGAGAGGACAGGAGAGAAAACAGAGACAGGAAGATGAGTTCGAAGCCATCCCCTGGAACCTGAAGGCAGCCTGAGTTACACGAGACCCTGTCTCAGAAAACAAACGAAATTGGCTGAGTGTGGAGCTCAGTCAGTCACACCTCAGTCAGTCACACCTCAGTCAGTCACACCTCAGTTAGTCACACCTCAGTCATCAGTCACACCTCAGTCAGTCACACCTCAGTCAGTCACACCTCAGTCATCAGTCACACCTCAGTCAGTCACACCTCAGTCAGTCACACCTCAGTCAGTCACACCTCAGTCAGTCACACACCTCAGACAGTCACACCTCAGTCAGTCACACCTCAGTCAGTCACACCTCAGTCATCAGTCACACCTCAGTCAGTCACACCTCAGACAGTCACACCTCAGACATCAGTCAGTCACACACCTCAGTCAGTCACACATCTCAGTCAGTCACACACCTCAGTCAGTCACACATCTCAGTCAGTCATACCTCAGTCAGTCACACCTCAGTCAGTCACACCTCAGTCAGTCACACCTCAGTCAGTCACACCTCAGTCAGTCACACCTCAGTCAGTCACACCTCAGTCAGTCACACCTCAGTCAGTCACACCTCAGTCAGTCACACCTCAGACATCAGTCACACACCTCAGGCAGTCACACCTCAGTCAGTCACACCTCAGTCAGTCACACATCTCAGACATCAGTCACACCTCAGTCAGTCACACCTCAGTCAGTCACACCTCAGTCAGTCACACACCTCAGACAGTCACACACCTCAGTCAGTCACACCTCAGTCATCAGTCACACCTCAGTCAGTCACACCTCAGTCATCAGTCACACCTCAGTCAGTCACACCTCAGTCACACCTCAGTCAGTCACACCTCAGACATAAGTCAGTCACACCTCAGTCAGTCACACCTCAGTCAGTCACACCTCAGTCAGTCACACCTCAGTCAGTCACACCTCAGTCAGTCACACCTCAGTCAGTCACACCTCAGACATAAGTCAGTCACACCTCAGTCAGTCACACCTCAGACATCAGTCACACCTCAGTCAGTCACACCTCAGTCAGTCACACCTCAGTCAGTCACACCTCAGTCAGTCACACCTCAGTCAGTCACACACCTCAGACATCAGTCACACCTCAGTCAGTCACACCTCAGTCAGTCACACCTCAGTCATCAGTCACACCTCAGTCAGTCACACCTCAGACATCAGTCACACCTCAGTCAGTCACACCTCAGTCACACCTCAGTCAGTCACACCTCAGTCAGTCACACCTCAGTCAGTCACACCTCAGTCAGTCACACCTCAGTCAGTCACACCTCAGTCAGTCACACCTCAGTCAGTCACACCTCAGTCAGTCACACACCTCAGTCAGTCACACCTCAGTCAGTCACACCTCAGTCACACCTCAGTCAGTCATACCTCAGTCAGTCACACCTCAGTCAGTCACACCTCAGTCAGTCACACCTCAGTCAGTCACACACCTCAGACATCAGTCACACCTCAGTCAGTCACACACCTCAGTCAGTCACACACCTCAGACAGTCACACCTCAGTCAGTCACACCTCAGTCAGTCACACCTCAGTCAGTCACACACCTCAGTCAGTCACACCTCAGTCAGTCACACCTCAGTCAGTCACACCTCAGTCAGTCACACCTCAGTCAGTCACACCTCAGTCAGTCACACCTCAGTCAGTCACACACCTCAGTCAGTCACACACCTCAGTCAGTCACACCTCAGTCAGTCACACCTCAGTCATCAGTCACACCTCAGTCAGTCACACCTCAGTCATCAGTCACACCTCAGTCACACCTCAGTCAGTCACACCTCAGTCAGTCACACCTCAGTCAGTCACACCTCAGTCAGTCACACCTCAGTCATCAGCCCACACGATGCCGGTCGCCGTGTCCGCCCGAGCCGTCGGTAGCCCCTGGCACCCAGCGCACCCGGCCCGATGCTGCAGCGCGGGCTCCGGGCTCCCGGGAGAGTGGGGGTGGGGCGCTGCCGGCCTCGTCCCGGGGTCCTCCAGGGTCACCGTCCTGAGAGCGGCACAGGGGCCCGCAGCCGCCCGCCAGGGGCGCCGTTCCCGCGAGACTCTGCGGTGACCCCTCCCCAGCCGCCCGCCAGGGGTCGCCGTTCCCGCGAGACTCTGCGGTGACCCCTCCCCAGCCGCCCGCCAGGGGCGCCGTTCCCGCGAGAACGCCCGCTGAGGCCACGCCCCCTGCGGTCCGGCTGCTGACCTGCACCGCGGCGGCTCCTGCGCGGGGACGCGCGTGCGCGGGGACGCGCCCGGCGCCGCCAGCGTGTGCGTGCGAGCGTCCGTGCGTGCGCGCGCCACCCGCAGGAAACGACGGCTGCGCGGGGCCGGCGCCGCCCCCGCCCCGCCCCGCCCCGCCCCGCCCCGCCATCGCCATCGCCGCGGCGCCCCCGCCTCCCCGCCAGCCCAGCCGGCGGCCCTGCCCCGCCGCCCGGCATGAACATCATGGATTTCAACGTGAAGAAGCTGGCGGCCGACGCGGGCACCTTCCTCAGCCGGGCCGTGCAGGTACGGGGCGGGCCGGGGCGGGGGCGCCGGGGCCGGGGACGGGGACGCCGGGGACGGGGACGGGGAAGCCGGGGACGGGGACGGGGACGCCGGGGAAGCCGGGGACGGGGACGCCGGGGCCGGGGACGGGGACGCCGGGGAAGCCGGGGACGGGGACGCCGGGGAAGCCGGGGACGGGGACGCCGGGGCCGGGGACGGGGACGCCGGGGACGGGGACGCCGGGGACGCGGACGGGGAAGCCGGGGACGGGGGAAGCCGGGGACGCCGGGGACGGGGAAGCCGGGGACGGGGACGCCGGGGCCGGGGAAGCCAGGGACGGGGACGCCGGGGAAGCCGGGGACGGGGACGCCGGGGCCGGGGACGGGGACGCCGGGGCCGGGGACGGGGACGCCGGGGACGGGGACGCCGGGGCCGGGGAAGCCGGGGACGGGGACGCCGGGGCCGGGGACGCCGGGGACGCCGGGGACGGGGACGGGGACGGGGAAGCCGGGGACGGGGCCGGGGACGGGGAAGCCGGGGACGCGGACGGGGAAGCCGGGGACGGGGACGCCGGGGACGGGGAAGCCGGGGTTGGGGACGGGGACGCCGGGGACGGGGAAGCCGGGGTTGGGGGCGCCGGGGACGGGGAAGCCGGGGACGCGGACGGGTCGGCCCGCTGATGGGCGCGGCCTGGCGCCCCGGCCCCGCCGGCCGCTTCCGCCCCGCTCGGCCCAACCGCCGCTCGGCCGAGCCCGGAGCCGGGGCGCCGCCCGCACCCCTGCGCCACCCCCACCCTGCTGCCTCGGTCGGGTCGCGCTCGCCCCACCGGCCGTGCCCCGCTGCCCTTGCCCGCACCGCGCCGCCTCCGCCCCGGGAAGGGTCGATCGTCCCAGCCCAGCCCCGGCGGGCAAGTGCACGGTGCAGGTCGCCGCCGCCGGGGCCCACGCTTCACCGAGGACGCAGCAAAGCTGGGGTCAGGGCCGCCCCGACCCGTTCCCCACACCGGCTCGGGGCGTGGTGTCCACCGCCCCGCGTTGCTGTGCTTCGGGCCCACTAGGAGGGGAAAAGTTCACTGCTTCTCCTTGTTCTGTAATCAAGGACTTGGGCGGGTTTTTACAGTCAGCGCCACGTTATGCAAACGCAGTTTATATCTGTGAACAGATGTGTCACAGCGCGGTCCGGCCGCAAACAGTCTGGTGTGTAAGTTAGTGGCATAGGGTAGTGGCAGCATCCTCTTCTGAGAGGAGAAAACAAAAGTATTGTGCCCGGATCATTCCTTGTATCCTTTGCCCTGATTTTATTGGCACCATTTGACACCGTATTGCATTATCCTAGGCAAAAAGAATGAGAGAGTCCCCCCCCCCCCCCACACACACACACAAGGTAATGACTGCCCACCTCAGGGAAAATGCTGTGATGAAGCAGTCTCTGATGGCCGCACATTTCACATGTCAGCTGCAGCAGACATTGTTAACCCTCCTTTGTATAAAAGGAAGTGGCCTCAGATGTAAATAACTTGCTTGACTTGACTTGCTGGGCTAGTAGTAAACCGTCGCCCTCTGGCCTACTACTACATGAGCAGCTGATTTCTCCTAGAATGAGCCTTACAGTGTGTGGGGAATCGCAACATGATGTGGCCTTGAAAGAACTTAAAGAGGGCTGGAGGTATAGGTATCTCTGCCCTTAAAATGCAAACATCTACCTTATTATCAACAGCAAGAACTCTTAGAAGTGGGAAATGCTAATTCCACCAAGCTTTCGGTTTCCTGGATCGATGCGATGAGTGATAAGCTAGCTGTCAAACTTACCCCTTTATTCTCCTTCCTTCCCTGAGATGTTCGGTTAAATAAATGGGAGATGAAATTAAAAGAGAGAGAGAGATTTAACATTGACTTCAGTAGAGGACCAGAGCTTGTGGTATTTTAATTTTAGTGCTGGTACCTGTTATTCTGGATATTTAATGAAGATTTGGTACTACATAATGCCACAGTTCAATACAATTAGCTATGCTCCAGATACATACTTTCCTGCCTCAACAGGTCACATTTATGAAACTCAATCTGAATTATTGAAAGACACAATTTTAAAAAGTAAATCTAGAAAAACTTTAAAGCTATACTTCTCAAATGAATTTTAATTGCTTATTGTTTCAAGTACTTTTTAAAACAGTTTTTCAGTTGTATCCTAATATGTGAACTGGCAAATAATTTCCAGTCTTATTCAAGCATATGTTCCATGTTTAGATTCTGTATTAGGAACATCACTGATTAGCAGCAAATTAGTGTTTCTCCTCATGAAACTTACAACCTAGGAGAACACAGACTATGACAATACCAGGTGATGGTAGCGGATAGGGTAAAATAGTAGAGGTGATTGTAGCCGAAGGAGGAGAGTTAGACATGTCAGTCTAACAGGATGAAGTACAAAAAGACTTGTGTGAAGTGATGACATGCAAGTATATGTAGTTTTTGTTGTATTCCAGACAAAAGACGTGAGTTCAAAGACTCTGGGGCTCTAGAGATACTGGAGAGACCCAGGGGGAGAGAGCTATGGCCACAGGACAGGGAAGGTGGATTTAGTATTAAGTGTCCTTAGATAGTGTCTGTAACTGTTAATGTCACATGCTGAAATTCTATGGTGAAACGTACAGTTTGAGGTTTGTTGTACAGGTAGTTGAGAGCAGCTTTGCGGAATGGTGATAGTTGTTGAAGCTGAATTGTGGGTATGGGCTTAAGTTTCATTATACCACTTTCCACTGTACTACTAGTTTATTGTGTGTTTGCTACGTCCCACGGTGATTTCAGTTAAGTTTTTAAGGGAAAAGGGTGTTTCTAAAATAAAGCATGAAACAAGAATGCTGGCATAGTAGTTTACAGCGAAACACCTTTCTTATTCCAGCATTTAGTCAGTAACTGAGTTAGTTACTACTCTGAGCTATAGTGATAAGGGTACAGTGCCAAAGTGCCAAGTTTCATGCTAAAAATAGTTTCAGACCTGTGCCAGTGAGGAATAGTAGAGAGAGTGAGGCCTTCTCGTTCCTAAATAATTTCCTTTAAAAAAAAAAGAAAAAGAAAGAACAAGCCCTCCCCTGGTCAACTATTGTAGGTACTTTCATTTTACCTAGACAATTTTAATTAGAAATTAAATTTTTTGTTTTAAAAAGAAGCATGACTATTCATGTTTATAAATAGGTAGATAAGTCTTGGTACTTAAAAAAATGCAAAGGTAGAATGTATGAGTGACCAAATGTTCCTAACACATCCAGTGCCTAATATAAGATCCTGGGAAATACCTATTTTTATAAATTTACATTTTGATAAAGAAATAGGAATATAGCATTAGCAGTGTTACTACGTATCTGCCCTAGCTACCTCTCACCTTTTTAAATTCAGGATAGCATTTAAGCAGTCCTTAGTTGAGTAGTTAACTGAATATCCTATAGGAAGTAAAGATAGGCCTACAGTACTGGAAACAAATACGCAGCACAAGGAAGCACAGAGTCTGGGATATTTGGATTATGGAATCAAAATAAAGGTTACGAACTTCTTGAGGTTAGCATAAGTAAAACAAGCAATTATTCAGTCCCAAAACTGACACTTAGACAGAATGTTTAATCACACCAAACCCCAGCTCATCCCTCAGTAGAATTACTGTTCTTACCCTGTAAGGGTTATTTTAATCTGATATAAATAAGACTCATACCTTAGTATAAGGACCTTTCTAACACAAACTGAGCCCGGAAATGAGGAAGCATAACAAAGATGCATTATATTTTTGGAAGGAAAAAAAGAAAAGCAAGCATCATAGAAATAAGCTAGGCATGGTTGCATATACTACAATACCAGAACTCGGGAAAGTAAGGCAGGGAAATCAAGTTGAAGGCCAGCCTGGCCATATATACCACGGCTATCTGCCTCTCAGTAACAACAACAACAATAATAATAATAATGGTAACTTTGAAATTTTTGAAAAATAAATAGCAAAGCTATGCAAATGCTTTGCCAGTTCTTCCTAGCATCATGTGAGACTTCCTTCCTCCAGAACTGTTTTCTAAACAGGCTTCCACATTCAGACTCTTAGGGAGACTTTATTTTGTCCATAAGGAGTTCACTGTTACTGTCTTTTTTGTAGATTCTTACTTTATAATTCACTTCTAATTTGCTTTCTGTTATATAACCAAAACCAACTTGGGAAAGAAAGGCTTACTAATGCAGTTCTCAATCCACCAGCAAGGGAAGCCAAAACAGGAAGGCACAGGGGGCGCTTGATACAGAAACCATAGGGGAACACTGCTCTTCCTAAGCTCACACATAGCTGCCTTTCTTACCTGCCTGCAGGAGGTTCTGCCCATAGTTCTGCCCAGTTCACAAGAAAGTGCGCGCGCGCACACACACACACACACACACACACACACACACACACACACACACACACACGGCCTGCAGGCCAGTCTGATAGAGGCAGTGCCTCTTGAGGTTTTCCTTTTACCAACAACCACGGTTAGACACCACAGTTATATACTGATTCATAAGTTATGTAATGTTTGCTTTTTTTCTTGTTTCTTTCAAGACTGAAACTCCATAGCAAATACATGACTTGTAAATATCATCTTTGCTCTCTTAAATCCTCACTATTTTCTGAGACCAAAATATAAGAAAAATTTAAATAATAAGCCAATAGGCCTACTAACCTGAGATTATGAAGTGTTTTTTCCCAAATGACTAACTTTATGAGCATCAGCTCTGAAATATTGCACAGAACTTCCTTGAACCCTAACTCGTGTTGATAAAGTCAGTGGCTATCTTTTGAGTCACTATCATAAACGTGTTTTAATAGTTTCTAATCTGTGCCTTTAAACCTAGTATTTCTAAAATATGTTAGATAGAATTGACATCTTACATACTAGAAAGAGGGGGCTGTATTTTCCTAATCCTTGGGTAGTACACTTCAATGTGTTCTACCATCTAACTTGTTATGAGAAGGGCACCTCACATAAATACTGACCTAATGAGTAATGATTTTTAAATTAATGATGTTGATCTCTGTAGTTAATCTCTTCAATTAATGTTTGATATGTATACAGTGGTGGTGAGCTCTCCTTCCTCACAGAAACCGATGCTCTAAGCTCCTCTCCCAGACTGCTCCTGGCTTCTTCCAGGTTCATTTCATCTCCAGTGAAAATGTCCCCAACTCTACTGATTCCTATTATTCCAAATAGTTATTCTTCTCTACATAAATTTATTGTATCATTCAGAAAAAAATAAAATCACCTATGTTGATCTTCTGTTGAGATCCTTAAACCTTTGCGTGCTTATTTTCTCATTATTTAGGTTTTATTTCTTCTCAAAAAATTTTGACCGTGTGGTGGTGGCACACACCTCTAGTCCTGACACTCAGGACACACAAGCAGGTAGATCTCTGAGTTTAAGGCCGCCTGGTCTACAGAGTGAGTGCCAGAACACAGAGAAACCCTGCTTGGGTGGGTGGGGGAGAAGAATATATATGTATGTGTATGTTAATGTTAATATATTAATTTTATATGATATATTAATATTAATAATTGGATTATTAAAATAAACCGTGTATATTTGTATGTTGATATTGATATTATGCATACAATATTAATATATTAACTTATGTCATATATTAATATACATTGATCTATACATCAGTGTATTAGCATATTATATATTTAATATATTAAATATATTAATTTATGTTATATATTAATACATTGTTCATGTTAATGCATATTAATATAGTATATGTGTTGTATATGTATTGTGTGATAATTTTTATGTATTAATTAGATTCTTAAGAACAGAAACTTGGCCTGTTTGTTGGAAACCTAAGTGCTTGTCCAAGTTAGTACTATTACATACACACACACAACACACACACACACTTGGTAGTTATTGAGAGTCAGGGAGATGGCTCAGCAGGTTAAAGCACCTGTCACCAAACCTGATGATCTCAGTTCTCCTCCCAGGACCCATATGATAGGAGAGAAGCTACTTCTCCAAGTGGTCCACTGACTGTCAGTGTGCGTACACACAATAAATAAAATGTAACTTTAAGTTTTTAAAGAAAGACTAAATATTTGTTGAAGGAATGACTGGAATAAAGGAACAAATAGCATGTATTTTTAAATTTTTCTTGCTCACCCTTTAAAGATGATGTTCACCTAAGTGTGTTTCCTTTCTCACGATGCTTTCTGAGGTGAAGCATTAATGTAAAATTCTGATGCATACCTTTTCAAAAGGTCTGCTCTTAGAACCCTTAAGAAGAAGTAAAACATACCAGGCCCCATCCCAAGCGTGAGATTGCAGTTGGCATGGCTGACATTGGGATCGGGGTTTGCTGTAGGTAGGTACAGTGTACTGCCTGTTGACAGTGTATGGCAAATTTGGGGGTCTCAAGGAAAGTAGTTGGTCTCTGGTCCCATACAGGATCTTTGATGAGTGCTGATAATCCTTTGAAAGTATGAAACTCAGAAGAATGAGGCCCAAAGAAATGGCTACAAAACTCAGAAAAGTAAAACAGAAGAAAGGGCTGTAAGAAGTGGAGGGGGAGGGGCAAGGTAAACATTGCTTTGTTAGCTAACCACCAAGTCTTGCATTTTCCTACATTGAAGGAGAAAAACCAGACATTGTAGAAGAAAGTTACAGATTGCGTAGAGCCTCAGATATCACATCTGTTGTTTACTTGAAAAATACCCAGAAAACCCCATATGGCCAGAGGCCTTTTCCTCTATTCTATAGACATCGCTGCCTTTCCTTAGCCACCCTCACAGCCCGTATGTTAAAACAGTGTATGGTAACTATATTCAACCTCCTTTTCTGATCTTTAAAGGGAACACCTCCACTTTGGAGCTGGAGAGATGGCCCCATGGGTAAGAATGCATACCGACTGCGCTTGTAGACAGAGGCCTGAGTTCTGTCAGGGTACACCATGTAGTGCTGGTCGGTTAGAGAAAGAAGGCACTCCAGGATGAAATTTTAAGGCCTATCTGGCAGCTGACAGGTCCAGCCTCTCTGATGGACTAAACCCTGAACAGCTGTACAAATGTATATTTATTGATTGTTACACAAAGTATTTCATCATACCAAGGTCCCTAATCTAATTTGCATGTTTTACTGAAGGAGATCATCATATGCCCCATGACTCTAGTCCCTTATTATGTATCATTTGCAATACACAATAATTCAAGAGCCTCGGGCGTGCCTGAGGCATCTTGTGACCAAAGTCATGGGATGGCTGCAATGCCCCTTCAGCAAAACAGTCACTGTTTTCCACAAGGGTTCTTAAAGGTAAAGTACTTTAAAAACACCTGTTCATTCTACTGTCTACCCCAATACAGTGATTGCTAAGTTCCTACAACAGAGTTCAATTCCCAGCACCCATGTCTGGTGGCTGACAACCCCTGTAACTCCAGCTTCGGAGACCCATTGCCCTCTTCTGGACAGTGTGGGACCTATACCCATGTGCGCACACACACACACACACACACACACACACACACACACACATACACACACATACACACACACACACACACACATTTAAATTCTTTTTTTTAAATAAATCTTATAAAAAATACTTCTACTGTGTGAATAATGTAGCAAAAAATAGCCTATAAACACATTGTTAGAGCATACCCTGAAAAACAACGTAAGTGATAACTTGCTCAGAAGGTTTCATAAATGTGTGACTTGGGTGTGATTAAACTTATAAGTAATACATGTCATAAAAAAAATTCAAATTTGAATAACGATTACCTGACTCTAAGCAGATATTTATTTCCATAGACAGCCTTCTTTTTCTCTATATAGACAGTCTTAATTAATCCTCAAAATATTAATTGTTAGGGAAGTTGAGTTAGGAGAACAGCCAAAACCATTCTGAACTACATAGTAAAACCCTATCTCAAAAAGAACGTTATTTTATCACTTCTATAAGAAAGGATACAAATGGAAAAAAAAAAAAAATACTGAAAAGCTTGCCCATGTCTGAACTCAGATTCAGCCGGCCCAAATCTCAGTCTTTGTTAGAAGTGTTTATGTACCAGGAAATAGAGAATTCATATCATGCATTTTAGTAGAAGACATAGGATAGTCATCATAAGTAGGATGTATGTGGGTGATATATTACCATAGTCCCCACACACATACAACCAATTTTCATAGGCACTGGCTTACAGACAAACCTGGGGTATAATTATTTACATGTTTAGGATTATTTGGATTTGATTTTTGTTTTCACTTATTGACAGTTTCCTAACATACATTTGAAGTGTGTTTATGTATTTATGTACTTATTTTAAATAATCACAGTTCACAGAAGAAAAGCTTGGCCAAGCAGAGAAGACAGAATTGGATGCTCACTTGGAAAACCTCCTTAGCAAAGCCGAATGTACTAAAATATGGACAGAAAAAATAATGAAGCAGACTGAAGTGCTATTGCAGCCAAATCCAAGTAAGACACTTTGCTCCTTATCTGCACTAAGCGTTGCTATTAAATGTTTGTAAGGTTCACGGTAGAGTCTGTGTCTTCCAGGTCTGTGGCGTTTTTATTATGTGTATTTGGGTTACGAAGAGATGGTGGAAATTTGTTTACACCTCCTAACAAGTTTACAGAAATACTAGTAGAGTCCTGACATTCATCTTAAGACTCACATTTTCCTCTAAGTTATTACACTTGATTTTTGGACAACCATAAAGTGTTTAGGATCACACAAGTCAGCATAGCCTTGCAAACTGGGACTGCTAAGTGTCTCTTAGGTAGAATAGCAAGCTAACTGGAAATGGAGCTTCAATTAGAAGCAAATGCATAGACATCTAGTCTTTTTAAGGTGTGCATTAAATGTCAAAACGAGGCTACAGTGCCTGTTTTTCTTTCCCCCATTGCTATTGGAACACATTGCAAAATTCCAGTTTTAAATTTCAAGCATTATAAGAATCCTAATAATCACATGCCATTGTAGTTTAGCTGTAGTAACTTTAAAAATGCAAGCCTTGAGTGAGGCTTTGTATCTTTGGTCACCACGGGCACAGTACAATGTTTCTTGCTCATTAAAGAATACTTAAGTTATTCACAATTGTACTTTAAAACTACTTCTGTTCTTTTTCTGCCAAGAGGTCTCACATCTGTATACAATTTGTAAGCTCAGTGACTGGCAAACAGAGAAATATAATACAGTGCCCGCTTATCATTCTCTCCATTGTTTTGCAGCAAGTAAATCAGGTTGATTGTTTTGTGGTATGATTATAAAATTATATAAACTTAAAGTAACCTTTTATTTTCCCTGAAAGTCCTATAAGCTTGACATTTTCGACAAAATTTGCATAAATACATAGTGCTATAGCAGAATTGCCTGCATATTTTCAGATCTGGTGAATGACTTAATGAATGAAGCAGTATTTACTAATGTACCACATATTTTATTTACTGAATCAAAATCAATTTAAAATTTACCTTTTCACTCTTGACCATATTGGTCAAATGCATTTAAAACTGAAAATCACAATCAAAACCTTGAAACCTGGTCAGCATTCATAGGTCATTTCAAAATGACCCATTTTGGTTGGCAGTTAATGTTTTGGGTTTTTGGTTTTTGCTTTGAGGCAGGGTGTCACTGTATAGCTCTGATTGGCTTGAAACTGACTAAGTAGATGAGGCTGGCCTCAAACTCAAAGATAATCATTCTCCTGCCTCTGCCTCCAGAATTCTGAGACTAAAAGCATGAGCCATTATGCCTAACTAATTAAAGGTTTTATGTTCTGCTTTAAAATTCTTATCATTTTGCAGAAGACTGCCAAAAAAGCCAGTATTTTTTTTACATCATCTAATTCATATATTTTGTATATTACAAACTAAACCTTTTATGTATTATAAATAACATTATTTTAGCCAACTTGTAAAGTATTTCCATTACTATTTCAGGTCCTTAAAAAAAAGAAAGAAAAGAAAAGAAAGAAAGAAAGAAAGAAAGAAAGAAAGAAAGAAAGAAAGAAAGAAAGAAACACTTTTCACTGTAATTCAGGGAGATATTAAGACACTAAAAATTAACCTCTAACTGTCCCATGGACTTGTATGTGTGCATACGAGCACAAGTTTTAGCTGTCATACTGTCGATGGATATGAAGACTGTTCCAAAGCAGGACGATTGTAGTCCTCAAGCTCTGTCTCTGTAAGAGAGTTAATACATGTTCATGCTAAAACGCATAGATGTGGTTCTTGGATCTTAGATACTTTGTATACATTTCTGTAGGTGAATATCCCTGATTTTAAAATGATCAACATAACTTTAGAATAGATTAAAGGCAACTTCACTGGATATTAAGTTTATAACTCTCTTAAGATCTCAAAGAATACTCAAGAATGTTTTTGTACTGAGGTACATTACCAGGTTTTTGAACTGTAAACCTTTAGAGATTATATAATAGTCAACATATAATTATATATGATTAGACTTAAAGATACATACTAGAATAAATGGTAATTGTATATTTTCCAGTGGTAGTGACTGGAAGGAGAACAAACTTAAATCATTTTGCTCTTTTGAAATAATTGCGGTTTATTTAAAATTCTTTTCATTTGTTTTGATTGGCGGGGTGGGAGGGTTCCACTGTGTAGTCCAGGCTGGTCATGGACTAGAGTATTTCCCCACCACCTCATGCTGGAGTTACTGGAGTCCACCATGCCTGGCTTATTCCCTCTTTTGAAACACTGGTATTTCTAACCTTTCTCCTAGATGCCAGGATAGAAGAATTTGTTTATGAGAAACTGGATAGAAAAGCACCAAGTCGTATAAACAACCCAGAACTTTTGGGACAATATATGATTGATGCAGGGACTGAGTTTGGCCCAGGGACAGCTTATGGTAAGTGAAAGTGAAAGGTTCTGAAAGGAAATAATTTCAAAGTCATGTTATTTGTCTTCATTTCCTTGTTGTATTAGTAATTGTTGTAATGACTTACATTTAAACTTCCAGTGCCTGTTTATTTTACATTAAAAATACTTCACACATAGTAAATGTTTGGCCAGACCATACTGCTTTTGTTTGACTTCTGCAGTGTCAACACTCAGGGTATGTTAGTAGTCATCGTCTCTGGATATGTAGGATGCATTGTATTTCTAGTTCATGTTTTCCATTATGTGTTTACAGGTAACCCAGCTTTGTTAGTTCCTATACTATTATTACATTTTTCTTTGTTCTATGTAGATATATGTGAATTCATGTGTCTATATGGATATGTATGTACATGCCACAGTTTTTATACAGAGAGTTAGTGTTCTCTTCTATCATGTGGGACCCAGGTCAGACTCAGGCTTAGCAGCAGAAACCTTTACTGTTAAACTATCTCTGGCACTATGGGGACCTCAAAGTTCCATATTTCTATTATAAGGCCTAATTTCAATTTTTCTCTTTCTCTTAGTCTATTTGTATGTACTTCTAGTAATTCTAATGAATGTATTCTGATAATTAAAATTAGACTTTAAGAATCTATTCATAGAAAATAGTGGCCAAAAAAAAATGGGTCTCCTGGCATTGGTCTAAACACAGTATAATATATTTATTTGTTATTTTGGTAAATCCTCACTTTTTTGTATCTTTTAGAGTTTTGAGACAGGGTATTGCTACATAACATTGTAATAGTATATTTAATAGTATAAATTCTGTTGTGCCCATTTTTAAAACAAGGAAATGTCTGTGACCACACAGATATCAACTCAAATGTAGATGTCTGTTTTCAGAGTCAGAAGTTCTTAACTCCTTACCTGTGGGGAGGGATCTAATCTCATGTTAACAACATAAAGGGTTAAGATCTGCATAACCCACATTCTTTGGAGGTAGAACTGGGGCTGATCACGGCTTCTCTTTTCTACTCTACTCTAACTCTGTTTAAATATCTATCTGGGCATAGTTTAAAAAACAAAAGACGATTTTTGTTCCTCTGCAGGCAATGCCCTTATTAAGTGTGGAGAGACACAGAAGCGAATTGGAACAGCTGACAGAGAATTGATTCAGACATCGGCTTTAAATTTCCTCACTCCTTTAAGAAACTTTATAGAAGGGGATTACAAAACCATCGCAGTGAGTCGGAAATACTCCATTTGTCACATAATGTAGACTATGCTTACTTTTTAATAGCAGTGGTGGTAATGTTGCATTTAAAACACTTGCATACTCTGAACAAGTGCATATCCATCAGAATACAAACTAAACCTCATGAAAGGGCTGTTACTAACATAATCCCCAGTTTTTAACCCCACATTGTTAATATGCCTGTACGTTGATTTTCAAATCCATGGAGAAATTCCTGTTAATTATAAAAACAAAATATTGTTATAGTATGCTTGCGTGCTAATTTAAACTGGAATTTAGAAACCTGCTAATTACTTTGGCTCCTATACTTTATCTGTGTATTCCAAGAAGTATTATTACTTTTAAAATGCTACTTATTGTGTAGTCATTTATGTTGTCATGTTTCTTTCTAAACTTAATCTGTTAGTCCATGAAGCTTGTCTTATTGCTGGCAAAAAAAGGAAGCTGTGAGGGATGTTTTTCTTAAGACTTTCTCAGTGCTGCTCATTGTTGTGCATATAAACTCCAACGTTAATTTGCATAGTCTATACTACAGAATAGCAAGATTCAGTTTGTTTAACTATGGCTTTATCTTTGTATACGTAAGTAATTTGGGCCTGACTTAAATTAATGTAACTAAAAGATACTAGCTTAAGCCAAGACTATGGCTCAGTAGTAGTGTTTGATGAAGGCTCCATTAAAAAGTAATAACATGTCAGATGGATGAAATCTGATATATGTAATATAAAAATTAAGAAAACAGACTCCTACAACAGTTAGTATAAAGCATTATACAGTGACTTGAGTTATGTTTATGTATTATTCAGTCTGTAAATTTGAAATTCTGTCTTGGAGTAGTTGAGTTATATTTGATGCTATGACATATTAAAAACAGCCTGCCCAGTCTGTAAGAGAGATCACATAGAACTTTACAGAGCCATGTCCTAGGCCTCTCTAAAAGTCTGAAACAGCTTCTTAGCGTGGCCTCCTCCAACACTGTAGGCCAAATGACTCTTCTTAGTTGTGGAAGCTGAACTGCATTATAGGATGGCGAGCAGCATCCTAGGCTTCTGTCTGATAAATGCTATTAACATCTCTTGTTGTGACAACTGAAGATAGTGCCAAATGTTCTCCAGAGGGATTGCTGGTGGGAGGGAACCATGCTGGAAGATACAAAAACTAATACACCTTTGCTTCACCTGGGATTCAAAATCTGGAATGTTTTTAAGTAGTTTTAAAGGGGCAGGGAGGGGAAATGTCAGGTATAACATGCTTGCAATCATAGCATTCAGAGAACAGAGGCAGGAGGATTGCCACAGTTCAGGGCCAACCTGGTCTGGTCTACATGGTGAATGTCCTGTCTCAAACAAACAAAACGGAAAGACACGTGCGAGGCCACTGCTCTGTATGAACTGGCACACATACTGCATGCAGAGTGACTCCTTAAATGGGGGTGGTCTCCTGCATTTTAGCCTCCTTAGCTTTACTTTGTTCTTTTTCATTATAGAAAGAAAGAAAACTATTACAGAATAAGAGACTGGATTTGGATGCTGCAAAAACGAGACTTAAAAAGGCAAAAGCTGCAGAAACTAAAAGTTCAGTAAGTAGTGTATATTTATCTGTTTCTAATAGAAAAACATTTCGGCTTAATAACTTGAAAGACTGTGAAATATTTTACTAGTACACCATACAAGTACAGAGTACAGATAGAGTATGGCAAGAATCGGGTGTGTTTTTGTTTGGAAACAGATTGATCAGAACCAAGTACATGCAGGTCAGTGTAAACTAGTCATTGTCAGGAGGCATTAGTCCCACCACTGAGGTGGGCCCAACACTGTACCGTGCTGCATGCTTAGTGTGCGTTCTAATGCGCTTTTAAAGGGCTGCTGCAGTGGGGAATGGGAAAAGATTTTAATTTAGATGAAAATGAATCAAGTTCAAGAATATTTGCCTATGGCTTAAAAAGTAAGTAATTGTCTTTAGATATCCAACTCAAAATAAATAAAGGAATTGTCACCAAGAATAGTTAGAAAAGATTGAATAGTGTTAACATGGTTTCCCAGGTAGCTTTTTCAAAGAGGAAGAAACCCATAATATGGGTAAATAAGTTCTGGTATGTTCTTTTTAGAAAACCGGCCCCTAAAATAGGTTTCTCTTTTTGTCTAACTCTTATTTAAAAGGTTTTAAACTTTAATCTAATAGATGTGCTGTCTATATTTTCATTCTATTGTGTACAGTACTTAAATTAGATTTTAATTGTAATAGGTTGAAAATAGTATAATATAAACAAGAATGAGTTGTTAGAGGAAGATAGCATTTTAATTAGAGCATAGGGATGTGTTTTGTTAAGAGGGATAATATCTGGACTCCCCAACCACAATTTCACTCATTTCATAATACACATATAACTAGAATGCTAGAGAAAGCGTATAGTTTTCTTCGGTGAAGGAAAGGTTGAAAATTATTATATCAAGAAGTTGACATTTTGTATTATCTACTACTGGGGGAGGGCTAGCCTCTATCAGATATTAATTGTCAATCACTTCCTTTTGCACTTCTTAGAATATCACAACATCATCACCTCAGTGTGATTTCCATAAAAAAAAACTGTCTATAATATTAAAATTTATAAAAGAATGCTGTAGATGGCATGAGACCCTAAATTAGTTTACTGGTTTCTAGTGTTAAGGAAAGTGAATTAGTATGATTTTACTTTTAAGATACTAATTTTATAATCAGGAAAATCTTAACAAGGATCATTGGAAAATAATGTCAAAAAAAAAATAACTTTGATGGTTGTGGAATAAGAATAATATTGCCAGGTTCCAATACAAATGTTTAATTAACAACCATTCTAGTGACGGTCTGTTCTTCAACCTAGGAAAGTACCAGGAAGCACACAGACCTAACTATACTGTGCTTTAATTATACTAGCATAGTGTAGCAGCACTGCTAGGAAGCACAGGAACTGAATATAGCCTTCTGAAAAAGGATTCTTCTTGATACATCTGGAAAAGTTGGCAATTGATATAGCCATGAAAATTCATCTTCAAAATTAAAAGATGATGCAGGTGGTATATCCCAGCAATTTGTGTAAAGGTTTTTAGAATCACTACATGATACAAACAAAACTTATCTGCAGCCAAAAATAAAAATATTAGTCCAGAGAAAAATTGTATTTTTATTCTTTCTCTGCAAGACTTGTTCTTCTTCAGACATTATTGCCATAGTCTGAATTACTCTTTGCCTGTCTTTCAAGTCCATGAAAACGATAGAGACTACTAGAGTTTAGTTCTTTTTTTTCCCCCCCTTTCTTTCTGATACATTTCTTGGTTTTGAATTGACAAATAAAGAGAGTATTTTACTCTAGAAATTATTTGATTTCACTGTTTTGTTTTTTATGTGGATTTTTTTGTGACTACCCATTACTGTCCTAGTTGGGTTTGAGAGCTAGGTTTATCCCTACTTACTAAAATGCTTCATTTACTGTTTTCCTGGCCTCGCTCTTTAAATTCTCTCTGTACTGAATGCTAATTTTGTCAAATGTGTTCTAATGCAAAGTTCATTAATAATAAAAAATTTCTGCTACCCTCAGTTCACAAATTGTTAGATTAAACTTTTTGATGATTTAACCCTATACATACATACACCTGTATCTAGTATTGACTAATCTTTGTTTTTTGGTGTAGTGTATTGAAGAAAGATAAAACATCAGGGGTATTTCTCAAAAAAGTGTAGCATCTTAGTAAACAAGAAAATAAGACTTCTGAGAATGGGACTCAGCCATAGAATGCTTGCCCTGGATTCTGTTCCCTGCATCACACAATAAATAGTAAAAATAAAATAGACAAAGCCAGACATAGATACACCTGTCATGCCAGAAGTTGGGAGTTAGAGTTTCCTTCACTACACAGTGACACTGAGACCAGGGCAGGGTGAATGGGGCACCGTGCCCCATAAAAATCAACCAAAACAGTAAACAGTTATGTCAGAGAATTAAGGAAAACACTTGAATTGGTTCCTTTTAAATTATATTTGGTAACCTAATCATAATATTAGCTTTTTAAAATTTTGTTTAATGGGTAAAAAAAAAAAGTTCTTTTTAGTGTTTTCTAGCCTTTAAAGGAATCTGAGAGAAATGACCCTTCATGTAATTCACATAGTGTGTGTGCTCTCTGTGGACGTAAGCTGTACCACTGCAATCCAAACCTTTGCCCTACAGTCCCGGTAGGGTGGAGCATTTTCAGTTGTGAGAAATGCAGGAACTGCATGCCTGAGAACTGAAACAGAAAATGGTTAGAGGTGCCAGAAATTCACAGAATAGAAAGGAGCTTTAAATGGGAAGCTTATTGGTATAAAGCAGGTTTTCGTGGATGAAATTTTAACTGTGTTACTTTGTAATCTTTAAAGAGGTATGTTTCTCCTAAACAAGTCTAATTTGATATTAAATATCAGCTGCTTTTTGTTCTGAAAATTCTGTAATGAGCAGGCACCATTCATGAAATATGTAGAAAAACAAATAGTTTGTTGTTTTTTAAATAGAAAGAACATCCGCTGTCGCAATGCCTGTTCATGACGAGCTCTATTGAGCAGGTGTAACTCCTTTCAGTGTGCTCATGGGTATAATGTGTTCTCCATTGAGCAGGTGTAACTCCTTTCAGTGTGCTCATGGGTATAATGTGTTCTCTATTGAGCAGGTGTAACTCCTTTCAGTGTGCTCATGGGTATAATGTGTTCTCTATTGAGCAGGTGTAACTCCTTTCAGTGTGCTCATGGGTATAATGTGTTCTCTATTGAGCAGGTGTAACCCCTTTCAGTGTGCTCATGGGTATAATGTGTTCTCTATTGAGCAGGTGTAACTCCTTTCAGTGTGCTCATGGGTATAATGTGTTCTTTGTCTCTCACCTATGCACTTAAGCAACTAAACTCCACCCGGCTTGAAGGAGATAACATTATGGTAAATTTCTCTTACATGCTCAACTTCCTGCATGTAAAATGGCTGAAGGTTTGTTGGCCTACTGTGTTCTCTACATCTTCAACAAAATGCCTTCTCTTGCTATTAGCTGCATGTAGAAATCAAGTAGCTGAAGTTAATAAGCATTGATTATGTCTGGGAAAAAAATGCCAGTTGAAGTGTTACTAAAACTTGAAAAACCCACCCAATTTGTTGTTCATGCCAAAACATTTTAAAACCATAGGTGTGTAATGCTCTTTTACATCTAGTAAAGGTTTAGTGTTAGTTTAGGCTGAATTTGCAGAGTGTTACTTTAGCAATGAAAATTAACAAGATTTACCTTTCTTAGAAAACAGTAAAAGTATACAAATGGACTTCATTTTTTGTTCTTTGACCATATTGCTATTGAAATTCAATATAGAATTATTTTGTCTGCTATTCCAGATAAGACATATTCCAGTGGCCAGGCCTGTTCCATATTCAGTTTTGCTAAGTCCTTAAATAACTCCCCAGAATAAGGAAATGGAAATTGTTTATAAGAGCTAATGTACATATTTAGCTCAAATTGAAGAAAGTTTTGAGAAGCTAGGTTTGTTTTTGTTTTTTTTTTTTCTTTAATTAAATACAATTATGTGAATATAAGAAAACAGTTAATTCATGTTAGCCTCTAGCAATTGATAGTCCTTGGGGCCGGGTACATGGTTCAGTCAGTATAGTGCTGAGTTTGGATTTCCCAGCACCCACATTTTAAAACCCATGTATTTCAGTGCCTATCTACAACCCAGCACCAGAGGCAGAGACAGGAAGATCCTGGAGCCAATTGGTGAACTCCAGGTTCAGTAAGAGCCCCTGGCAAAATGTAAGGTGGAGGGAGAGCAGTGGAGGAGGGCACCTAAAGTCAGTCTATGTCCCAGTGTCACCCCAACACATGCACACGCACACTCACACTCACATATACACACGCACACACTCACACATACATATACACAAGCACCATATACACACGCACACATGCACACACACTCACACATACATACAAGCACACATATATACACACACTCACACAGTCACACATACATATACACACACACACACCACACATACACGCACGCGCACACACTTACATACAAACACATGCACCACACACACATGCACACTCACATGTACATACACACATATACACACACCACACATATACATATACATGCTCATACACAAACACACATGCACTACACATGCACCACACACACATATGCACACATGTACCACACACACATATACACATACACACACATACATACCACACATATACACAGGCACTACATATACACTCTTACACACACCACACACACACACATGCACCACATGCATACACTCATACACACACGCACTGCACACATACACACATACATACACAAACCGCACACACACACACACACGCACACACACTCACATACATGTCACAGACACATACCACACACACATACACACGCACTCACATACATCCCACACACGCATACACACAACACGCACCACATGCACACATACATATATTAAACACACACAAAAAAATTCATAATTCTTGGAATTATATTCTAAATAAATTGCTGCCATTTAAAATGGCAAGAAGTCAGTAGTCTCCTTAATAATTAATGGCTCATTGATTGCTTTTATTCTGTTAGCATTAAACTAAAAGCAGGAAAAATAAACCTGATGTTTAGTATTTGCTTTTGTTTCCAACTATTAATTTTTTAAAGTCCTGACTAAATAACAGCTTTCGTTACATAGCAAGAGAACGTATTTATTTATTTCCATTGTCCTATCCATAGGTAATTGAAAAGGGTGGGACTATTTCAGTCATTTTTAATTTTGTGTAAACCGTAGGTTTCCTTTTGTTCATGGTAAAAATATTTTAAAATGTTAGTAAGACTTTGCTTGGTTATTAAAAGCATTTGTTTTATAGCTGTTTATCATCTACTTAGTAGATATATAACTGGCATGATAAATATATAATAAAATGTTTAACTGGCAATCTTAAATTTATTATATTTCAAATTAATTGTTTCTCCCCAAAAATAGTTGTATCAGTAACACTCAGTGTCTATATACCCTTGTTTTGTTTATTTTAGAATGTAACCCTCAAAGTTAGTAGTTCAAACCTCTCCTTTTACATGAGAAGCTGTAGGTTCTCTGAAAGCTCAGATAGTCTCAGTTTGAGAAACCTGTTACTCTTATTTGTAGAGTTAATTAAAAGATTTTAAAGTTGGTAGTATTGATACATATAATAGGCAGACTTCATAATACAGTCAGCTATATTGATTTAGATTACTACTGTGTTCACTTTGTAAGGGGGAGAAGTATGCCATTTCAATTCAAGTACATTTTTCTATACTATAAGTTGTAAGAAATGTTTAACTCCAACTTTATTTCATGTTCTATATTTCTCTCTAATTTTTAATGCTGGCTAGATTTGGGCAGAGGAAGTGACGAAAGTAAGTAAACTTTTAAACTACAGGGTTGTGAAACCAGGATTTAATTGACATTCCTTCAGTAAACATTAAATGGAGCTACTGACAATTATGGCCTATGGTACAACTCTTTTAAACCCTGAAAAGTGAGGAAATTGACGTTTGTTTACTACTAGCAGCCGCATTCAGCAGTAGAATTGCACTCCACAGATGCTGTGCACACCGTGAGGAACCCTAGACAACAGAGAAGCAGGTGGAATTCACACGGTGTGTTGCTAGAAGACGGGCGAAATACTTATTTATTCATTGAGTTATTTTAAATGTAAAGGACACCAACTGTTGTACCCTCCCGTCTTTAGAGAACTGGGTTTCAGGGAAGTAAAGGTGGTGAGCCCAACATGAAATTTTCTGTCACTTTAGTAGAGTATACCTGTAAAATATATAGTATATAGCTGCATAAAACGCAGCCTAGCAAATATCTATAGTCACCATCATAATTCCAATTTCATCATTGTACACACAATTAGATCTTTTGATTTTTACCTTCTCCCTCATAGTAGTGAAAGCCATCCGTCTGCTTGTTGTTGGCTGTCCCTCTGCCTCTCTTACCATCTCTCTTTTTCTCTTGGCTGGGAAATCAAGTTTTAGCTCAAGAAAATGGTGGTTTTTAGTGCAAATTTATTTCAAATGTTATTTAAGGTCTTCAGGCATTTGTTTCACTTGCCATTCTCAGGCTTACCAAAGTCTGCATTCCAGATGAAGATAATGTTAGTAATTAAGGGTAGGTACTGACTGTGGCCTCCGATATTTAAATAGCTTGGTAAGCCTTAATTTTTATTTTATCACTTATAAAATTGTTGATCGATCCTACAGTGTGTTTCATGCGTTTGAAACACATGTAGTTTGTTGAGCTATATTGATTGTGTTGTTTGGCAGTGCAATGTGAAATGCTTGCCTTAAGGTCTCATTTTCCTGTGTGGAATCTTAATCAACCTAGTGCGGTCCCATTCTCTCCAACATGAAGAGGAGGGCCAGCATGTGAGAGAATATAAGTGGGACTGTGAAACCAGGATATAAAATACCATGACCAAAAGCAACCTAAGGTAGAACGTTTATTTTGGCCTTGGTTTCAGAGGGAAGGGCCATGTCAAGGGAAGCATGGCATGGTGACAGGAGCAGGAGGCTCCTGAACACATCTGTATTCATTCACAGGGAACAGAAAGAGAAGCAGAAGCGAGGCTATAGACTTGCGAAGCTGTACCTCCTCCAGCAAGGTGCCCCTTCTAACACTCCGTAACCTCCGATCAGGGCTTTATTCCTACGGAGAAACGCCATGACCCTGGCAGCTCTTACAAAGCAAACATTCAGTTGGGGGTTGCTTACAGTTTCAGAGGGTTAGTACATTGTCTTCATGGCTGGAAGCATGGCAGCACACAGGCAGACACAGTGGGTGCTGGAGGTCTGAAGGCAGCGGGAAGAGCAAGACACTGGGCCTGGCTTGAGCATTTGAAACCCAAAGCCCACTCCCAGTGACACACTTCCTCCAACTAGGCCACACCTCCAATAATGCCACTCCCTGTGTGCCCGTGGACCATTTTCATTCAGACCACCACACCCCCTACAATACCATCACCTGTGCCTATGAAGGACAGTTTTCATGCAAACCACCACTTAGGGCATCTTTCCTTAGTACAAGCTCATAAAAGATTTCTGTCTACAAGACTGAAAAGTAGTTGGTGTAGTAAATGGGGGAAATTTGTGGTTTAAAAAATGCCTGTTACATAAGAGTATATAAAAACACAGGAAATTTGTCTAAGTGGGCTTGAGACCTAAACTAACCTAAGCCTATAAGTAGGTAGTCCACCGAGATTGTTAGAGCAAATGCCTCAGAAGTATGATGAGCATTTCTAGTATATAGGTGCTGAGTCGTGGTACCACCACCCAATAGTGTGTCCATTTTCCAAGTTTCATCTTAAAGGAGCTCTTACAATATACCGACCCATCCTAAACTGTCATAGTAAATAGGCAGCTTGCTAGCAGTAATTCTTCTATGATCTTTTCCTTACATATCTGTACCTTAATTGTAAATGAAGTCAGAAAGAAAAATGATACCCTAGGAGATCAATAATTATTGGTAAAATTCATTGTCTTTCAGCCTCTCTTATGTAGCATTTCTTCTTCAGTGAACTGATGATGTTTATTAGCCTCTATTTGTTGGGTGAATAGACAGTTTGAGATATTTGACTATTTATAGCAACCTTGAAATTACCTTGGAACTTGTTAAAGAGATGAGATTCATTCCTGCTGGTTATTTCTCAGACTCTCAATAGACAGTGCAGGGTGACTCAATAAGCTTCATAGTATGGTGCTGTTCAGCTGAGATTAAGCATGACGTTTTAGTCCCGCCTAGAAGACTAATGTCCTGGCTTTGTTGATCTTTGCTAGTACTGCCGATGTCTCCTTTTTTCTCCATTAAAGCATTGTCGTCATTTCAGTCTCATGTACCCTGCTCACTTTAATCAGACACCTAACCTTATAATTTCTGTACATTTGTAGAAGTAACCCATATGTTATATCAGATTGTACTTTCACCTGGATGGAACCAGCCCAGTTTACCTTTGAAATTCATTTGTTTTAATTTGCTGGAGGTTTTTCTATAAGAAAAGCCATTTTGTAGTCCATCAAACAGAGTAGTAAATAGTACAAGTGTAACCTGAAGTGACTGAGGCTTCTATCTATACCTTCTGAAAAAAGAACACTGATTCTTTTCATGAACTTTTATCTGCTTCCTATTGTCTTCCAGATAAAATTAATTTTAGGCCCCCTAAAGTATCTGATTTTACTTGAAGTTAATGTATTAACTTTACTTATTATGCAATATAAATCAAGTTTATTTTTGTAAAATAAACTTAGTGGTCAATACTTACTTAGTCCCTCGGCCAAGTCTGTTGCCAGTAGGATATTAGAGCCACCGACTGGCAATGTACTCCTTTGTTAGCTGGCTCATGGGAGTCTTTTGTCACCAAAGGATAAAAGAGATAAAGGAAAAGTATTTGGCCTTGCTTCATTACATCTAAGAAAGCATGTCAATTGTTTGCATGTGGGTAACTACATGCTAGAGAGTCCGTCACTATCGATGATTTCCAGTAGTGAAGTTAACCTGATTGTTTCAAATAGGCTGTGAATTTCATTTTTCCTCCTCATTTTCCTACCACCTACTTCTAACCAAAGTTTTGAGATATTGATATTTAGTATATTTAGATTTACTTAGTTTTTCAGTGAACTGTTTGGTTCCGGCACTAAACAGAATCCAGTAGTGCTACCTACTTCTCATTTCCAAAACCAGTGACTTCATCTTGGTAACTGGAAGAGTATTTATATCATGCAAATCAGGATGTTACAGCACTTCCTTATTCTTTAGAATCAGTGCTGGCACAACACTGAAGACTAGCTGTAACTGTTAGAAAAACTTTCAAACCCTAATCTTAATAAATGATGTAATTACCAAAGCCTATAAGAAAGTTAACTTGTAGGACAACCAAGAACTATCTTAGCAACAAGTGTTTAGTAACTATACATAAGAGGTGGGAATCCTATGGCTTTACTCTTGCAGTCTTTGATTTGAAATTAAAGACTGTTGTTAACTTTTAGTACAAAAGAAAAGCACATATTAATAACTTTTAAAGTACTACTGTTTTATAATCATAAAACTATGGTACTCAGTAAAATACTCACTGTAGCAAAAAAAAAAAAAAGTATATGGGTATCTTAACTGTCATAATATGTCTTCAGACTAATTAAGTATGAGTCAAGAGTGAGTGAGGGACCAGTTCTGTTCATTGGGTTTGATGACACAGATAGGTCTAGAAACTAAAAACCAGTTAAGACACACACAAAGAATAGGGAATCATCAAATTCTTATTTGGAGTATACTGGCATTTGGGGGGGGGGGGGGTCTGTGTAAAGTGAACTAAATCTTCTAATGACATCCTTAAACTATGTTCTAATTTAAGTCTGAACAGGAACTACGAATAACTCAAAGTGAATTTGATCGTCAGGCAGAGATTACCCGACTTCTGCTAGAGGGAATCAGCAGTACCCACGTGAGTATTGAATCACCCTGAACAAAAGACGCTGAGACAGCACTTAGGCGGCTAAGGAGGAGTCTGTGACGTTAAAGGGTCCCTGAGCTACGTAGCAGACACGGCCAGTCTGTCAGTCAAGGGAAGCTGCAAGTGTGAGTTGTTAGCCGGGGCCTGAGGGAGTACTTCATTTTCTCTTACACCTCATCACTTACTTTCTCCCCGTTTCATAAACCCTCATGTTGGTTCCTCTTGGCTAAGCGAAGTTTGTCAACTTATTGTCCAGCGGTAATTAGTCTTAGTAAGCCTGATCGAAATATGAGTGTTAATAAGCTTTATGGTGGGGCACTACAGGGTCCCTCCTTCACTACAGTGTGTCCTCTGTTCTCCCGTGCCACCTGAAGAACTTCCCAGAACTGACTGCAACCTTTCCATTGCAGGCCCATCATCTCCGCTGTCTGAATGACTTTGTAGAGGCTCAGATGACTTACTATGCACAGTGTTACCAGTACATGTTAGACCTCCAGAAACAACTGGGAAGGTAGCGCTTTCCTTTTGCTATGTGAGGGGAGAGTGGAGACTGGGAAGGGGCCTCCATGGGGAACTGGGCACACAGCACTGGCACAGCAAGATGGTAGAAAGAGACAAGAGGAAGCATGAGGCTGGCAGGGAGGGCATTGGAAAAGAAAAGGGAATGAAACAACGCATAGCACAAAGCTCATTACTTTGCACAGTAACAAAACAAACAAACAAAAAGACACAAGTTTTTTAAGTCCTGATGGAAGAAGATCAGGTTTTTTATGTGAGGCTGGTGGTGTGGCCCAGTGGGTAAAGGTTCCTGCTGCCAGGCCTGATGACCCGAGTTCAGTTCCCAGGACCCACATGACAGAAGGAGAGAACTGGCGTCTGAAACGAGTGCTGACCTCAGCGTGCCCGTATCACACACACGCATGCACACACCACAGAAAAATGAATGAAATTTAATTAAAAACTGAAAAGTTTTTATACACAATCCAGTAGCAAGGGTGAGAATTGAAAGAGTTAAGGATATTGTTAGCTTGTACACAGTTCCCTTTTTTTTAATTATCAGACTTCAGAGGTAACATTTTTAGCTTTCCTAGCACAAATCTGTTACCAGAAATGAGAAGGTAATTAGGGGAATGCTTTTTAGTGCCATATACAGACAATGATAGATATATTTGAGGCTTAACTTTTCTTTTACTACTAAATAAGTTTTGCTGTTGGTTGAAGAAGATAGATATAGCTACATTAATATTTTGTTACCTTAAAGGTAAGCTAATTTATTAATTTGTTAATTTTGAAATACCTGCCTTAGTCACCAAATATATTGTGCAGTTACACCAGCAAACAAAAGAAACTAGGTTACTTGCCTTGATGGAGCTCACATTGTAAGGTGGCACTGGAAATAATATGAATTCTGAGTACCAGCCGTGCATAGACCAACCATGTAAAATGTAGGAGCAAGGCGCTGTGAGGACATCTAATTATGGCCCAGTTGCAACGAGCTGCATATCCCAGGTGGAGTTATTTTAGTGGAAGTCATCTAGATGAAGAACAAGGCAAGAGTGAATATTGCAAACCAGGGTACAGGAGAAAGAGAAGCAGCAAGTTGGGAAATTGGCTGTACTTCATTCTAGTGAGAACATAGTGTTTTAGTGGAGAAAGGAATTGTTTGCAAGACAAGAGGAGTTGACAGGATTGCACCATGAATGGCCTTAAAAGTAAACCATTAAAAGGAATTTGTCATTGTTTATTCTGCAAATTTATCCTTCAGATTTAGGCCTAGACCAAAGTTAGGTAACATCACAAAGCTAATTTTAGATCTTCAAAATAAACTGTAGCCTATTATTTTTAGATCTGGTAGCCTGCCTGGTTTACATTTGTACATTCTTAGTGTTTTAATAGTAGTATGCATGCCTGAAGATAGAACTGTTTAAACCTGAGAAACCGTATCACTTCCTTCACACTGTACCTTGACACTGTGGAAATCCAGCAGATGAGTCGTGCACTTAGCCATTCAGACAAAGCTTCATCGCTGGTACTCAGGTAAAGCACCGTACAACATAAAACCAGCGCTGTTCTGGTGAAGGCTGCCCATCCTGCCTCTGCCAAGAATTGTGTGGCTGCTAGGGACCAGTGACAGGAGTAGGGGAAATGTTAACCTTTTGTTTATGTCAGGACAGGTTAGCTGTCATGGGTTATGTCTGAAATCCCAGCACTCAGAGGCTCAGGCAGGAGGCTAGCCTGGTCTACATAGTAAAACACTTCTATCTTTTTTTGTTTTAAGTTCTTATATGCAGACCTTAACAGTAACAAATAACAAAGCATCCATGTCACACTAACCAACCCAAAAGCTGTTTCTGGAGAGTAGAGCCATGTTGTAGTAGGATTATTGCTAGTAGTAGCTGGATAACATCTGTTACTTCTGTAGGACTTAAGTTGTACTCAGATATTTTCCATACACCTCATATGCGTTATTCATAGACTTTGTAGTTCTCACCACCACACAAGACCAGCACTGTTAGTGCATAGTATTCACAGGAGGAAACAAGGATCAGGCACAGAGTTGGTCGTCTTTTAATTAACTATAGTGATTTGGTGTTATTGATTATGAACTTGTACAGATGTATTTTTAAATGTTAAAGTTCTTAGAAAGGTGGCCATCATTTTTCAGACTTTCTTTCAATACAGATGTATGTCGTGTGCCGAGGTGGTAAGTTAGAGAGGGACAGTAGAGTCTTAATCACATCACAGATTGTTAAGTCAGTGAGACAGTTGGTTGAACAGTGGGTGGAGCACTTCCTAGCTGAAGTGTTTCTCTCTGAATCTTCCCAGTGGGAAAGTTGGTAAACAGTGCCATCAAGTGGTGATAGTGAGGAATTTAATCACTTGAAAATAGATAATTGAGGGTTTGGATTTTTGTTTTTGTTTGTTTCCCAACAGTTTTCCATCCAATTATCTTTCTAACAACAATCAGACTTCAGGGACACCTGTGCCATCTTCTTTATCAAATGCTATTGGTCCTTCTGCTATGGCTTCAACAGGTAGCCTAGTAATCACCTCTCCTTCCAACCTCAACGACCTTAAAGAATCAAGTGGCAGCAGGAAGGCCAGGGTTCTCTATGATTATGACGCTGCAAACAGTACTGAGCTGTCACTTCTGGCAGATGAGGTGAGTGTGTCACAGACACGTGTAGTCTGATGTTAGGACAAAATGTAAGTTTCTCATTACTAACTTATGAATCGTTTATTGTGAATGTGTCATAATTTGATTTGTTAATATTGACACTTAAAATTCTATTTTACATGGTAGAGCAAAAGAAATAATGTTTTAAATGTTTATACATGTAAGTTCTACCTATGTTTAAAACTGCCCACTGATAAAATCCATAAATTTTCAGCTAAATGGTTATTAAAAACCCTTAATCAATGAATAGCTTAAACATATTTAACAAAAATTTGATTTATTTGCTATATGTTTATTTTTAATATAGTTAATAATTGGAAATATTATATCTTGTAGGTAATCACTGTGTTCAGTGTCGTTGGAATGGATTCAGACTGGCTAATGGGGGAGAGAGGAAATCAGAAAGGCAAGGTGCCAATTACCTACTTAGAACTTCTCAATTAAATAGGGAAACCATGAACAATTACCTATCATGACACCATATTTATATACAGTAACTCTAAAGCAGGCTTAAGTATCTTTCATATTCATGTGATAAGGAACTGAGAAAGAAAAATTACAAGCCATCAGAAACTAGCCATTCTGCCAATAAAATTGCATGGTTAATACTTCATTACAGAATTTATGTTAGAGATTTCATGACAAGAATGTTTTCTTACACAATTCTCTTTCTACTGAGGTTTCACTAACAAGCAACTTCTACTTTTGACCCAATTTAAAAACAAAAGGATTGTTTTCTACTGAATTTTTCATTAACAACAAGCTTTTTCTTTTATGCAAAATAAATTTATTGTGCATGATTCTAGTGACTCATTTTTTAGGTATAATAGCCAAAGAATAAAGTAAAAACTCGTTTTTAACCTTGCTGCCCAATAGGAGTTAGATGACTTAAATACTGTGCTTAAGTAGGGTCTCTTGGCTTTGGAGTTTTGTTTGTATTTGGTTTGGTTTGGATTTGTTTATTTTTAAAACACTACTGGATAGTTTCTTTTAAACATAAGTCCTTGGAAAATAATACTTTATTTCATACTATTGTTAAGGCTGCAGAACACTGGGGACAAATTATTCACTATGAATAATCATAAGATTTTTTTCAGTTGGCACAATTTGATGCATAATCAGAATTGCATCCATTAAGAACATACTACACTACAGTAAAGATCTGGTATTGAACAAGAAGTGTGTGCAAAAATAAGGATTAGTGCAGTAGCATTCATTATGGAGTAAATCGTATGCAATGAGTATAGTTTATCTTCATCTGGGTCTCTAGTTATGAAGTACACCCTCTGGAAATTACTAATGACACATTTAGAGCCAGAGAATTGCTGAGGACCATACTATATATCAGCAATAGTTGCTCTAAATTGCCAGTTGAGGAATTCATTTGTTAGGTATTCAGTCCTCATTCATTCATTCCTCCACCCATCCATTCAAAAGACATTTGTTGAGAACCAGGTACTTTGTTGATCCAACTAAATGTACTACTGTGAACAAGATGCTCCTAAAGAAGACAAAATAATAACCTATAACAAAACTAATATGATTGAAGAAGTAGCAAGTACTGTGTTAGAAGTCTCCTAATTCATATGTAAGAAGTCAGAAGTAGACATAGGTAAAAAGAAAATGATGTACTGAACCTGGAACCAGGAGTGCTTAAGTTTGTTTAGATTAGCTTAACAGTGAAGTTCAGAAAGTGTAGTTCACTTTTTCAGAGATTCTAGAATTGTAAACTTTTCAGCTCCAAGAAGGTGATATTTAAATGGCATCCGTTTGTGTTAAGAGCACCTAGGAACTCGGTAAACTTGGAAAATACAGTTCTTGGTCCCAGCTTTAACAGCCCCTTTATTTCTATGCTGTAAGACACATTCTTCTGCAGTTTTATAGTTGTGTAACGTTTTGACTCACACTTGAGTTACATACTTAAAGAACTCCAAAAACTGCTCAAGATGGCTCCTGTTCTATGGAATCAAATGAATAACGCTTTTGTAGTACCGTCTGTTGTTTTTGTCCAAATTTAGGTTTTAAGGGACTATAAAAATTTGGGTAAGTTTTAAAAGCAGCTTTAGTTCAGCAAATTAAGTTTTTGGGAAATAGAACAGTACAGAAGAAAATATAAATATGGAGTGAATTGATCCTGGGTTCAGATATACAGCCTTCCTCGCATATTGGGCTCCATGGATTTCAACTCAGATTTATAACTGCCATTTTTTTAAAGGTAAAATGGCGTACTAAGTGTGCCACCTAATAGGAGAGTCTCCCACAAGGGTTACTTTTTGTCTTTTGCTCCTAAGCAAAGGCCTGGCACATTGTAAACATTTTACACACACTCACGCCCCTTTCCAGTCCCTGTAGCTAGTCCACCTTGCTGTGTGGGCCTCGTGACTGGACTAGAGGGACATCTTTCTCACTGTGCGTATTCCCAGCAAGTCCACTTTCCACCCACTGTAAATCCAGCCAGACCCAGTTCTCCCCACTGCACTCAGTGGGGATCGTAGCAGGGCCTAACCCTTCCCACCAGGAGTGTTGCCTCCCAAGGCTGCACTGAGCTCCTCCCATAGGATTCATGTGGAGCTATTAAAGGATAAAGGGTCCTTGTCCCTTTCTCCACCACAAATCTGCCATATTCTGTATGCATGCTCTTTTATTTTGCTGTTGTTGTTTTAATGAGGTTTTATTGTTTGGTTGGATGTTTTGTTTAATTTTAGTTTGGGTTTAAAGTTTAGGTTCTGCTCAGGTAAAGGCCTAAGGGGATTGTTAAGCATAGAAGAAAGCTCTTGGGAAGCCTGTTAATTCATGGTGCAATTCAAAGTTTCTTAAATAAACCCTTGGCCCCTGAGCATAATTCAGTAGTACAGTAATGAGTGAAGGGTGCATATACTGATGAAATAATAAGCATGGCGGTATTTATAGGCTCTCCACAAACTGAAAAAGAAATGGATTTTATCCCCCTTTGTCCTTAAAGTATCTAACCCACAAGGTTGTAGTTAAAACACTTTCATGGTGTAATAAAGAAACTCATAGTCGGATGAGGCTCCTGAAGTGAGAGTGTGTCTCACTCTGGGGAACAGGGAGAGCATAGAGCCCCAGCCCCAGTGTGAGACAGCCCATCCTCCAGCCTGTGCTAACCTTCAGGGACAGGAACAAAGGGAAGCTAGTGTAGCAGGGAGACCCTGACAGGGTGGGACAGGAGACTTGTTCATGCAGTCTCACAGGATGCCACACTGTGCTGACATGCAGTCCCTGAAAATCCTCCTTGTCTCCCCAGTACCTGAAGTTTGAAATGAGATGCCTAGTTGCACAAGCCAGAGTGAAGAGCTGTCGAGGGGAGATGCCTGACAGCCAGCTTTGCTCCGGGCCTCTCCTTCACTTCATGGTGCTCATGTCCTCATGGAACCATGACGCTAAGGAAAGTGCCATGCTTGCCCCTCTCCCACTCTGTCCGTTAGGGTACAGGACCTCAAACGTGTTGAAAATGCTAATTGCTGTTTCAAATATTCTTCCTTATTTATACTTTTGTCTACATGGGCCTGTGGAATTAATAGTGTTAATCTTCCATGTGAACGCTTTTTAAATATTGTAAGACAAAAAAGGAATTTTACTTTCTTTATTATGTTCTATTAATTGTAATTATATTGTTTTTATAATTTATTTATTTAGCATGTACTTGTCACTCTAGAATGTAGCCTTTCTAAGCGAGAGATTTTAATTCTGTTAATTATAAATTACCCTTAGCACACAGCCTGACTCTTAGTATGTGCTCAATAAATACATGTTTGGTAAAAGGAAAAAAACTGCTAATACCTGTGTCTTCCCGCACAAGACCTACTGAGCCGAATTCTGGAAGCAGGGCCCAGTGTGCAGTAAGCCATTTTTGTGACCCTGTTGCAGGCGTGTTGAAAACCCTGCAGAATAACAGAGCTGGCCTTCCGCCCTCAGGCACCTGCAGTGTGACATCTCTGGACAGTTTCCCCTTGCCTTCTGCAAGCCTTCCCACCACTCTAACCGGTAGAGAGACTCTCACATCAGTCTTAGAAGTGGGTGTGAAGCTGGAAAGGTGCATCTGAGAATGCCAGGCCCTGGCTGCTGTGTGAGGTCAGTAAGAATGTGGACCTGTCTAAAGCAGCGCTTCTCAACCTGTGACTTGCAGCCCCTTTGGGGGTCAAATGGCCCTTTCACAGTGGTTGCCTAGAGCCATCTACATATCAGATATGATTCATAACAGTAGCAAAATTACTGTTAAGATGTAGCAATAAAAATAACTATGGTTGGGAGTCATCACGCCATGAGGAACTGTATTAAAGGGTTACAGCATTAGGAAGGTTGAGAACCACTGGTCTAAAGAAAGATAAACTCCAACCATCATATTTCCACACAGTGCCTTTGAACTGGTGTTTAGCATCAAAACATCCAGATAAACCAGTGAAGCAGTATAGACTAACGTGTCTACATCACAGTACCTCAGGTTGCTAAGCTCTACTCTTATTCCTACATCAAAGTAGACTTTTTAATAATTGTTAATGCTTTTTTATTAATACAAGTCATATTATACTGACAAAAAAAATGTAAAGGTAAAAAATAAAACATGGCCTATAATTCCACCATCTGAGGATAAGTGCTGGGACAGGTGTGTGGCCTCCAGACTCTGTACCTTTAAAGATTTTTCTTAAATGGGATCAAATTGTACATGCTGTTTTGTAACTTTTTCACTCTACAGTATCATGACGATCTTGCTGTGTCATATGTATTTCTACATCATTTTTAATGGCTGCATGATATTTCTTCATATGTGCCACATTTTATTAAACTACTGTTGAATTTTTAGGTTTCCAGTTTTTCGCTAATAAACTGCTTTGAAGAACATTGTGCCGCTAGCCCTTTGTGTTCTTATTTCCATGAGTGCTGTGAAGTGGAGTTACTGGTAGACAGAGTATACCAGTTTGAAAATGCTTCTGCCACTGCTACTATGCCCCCTAGAAGACATTTAGCACTCTATGCTCTATCAGCAATGTATAAAGAGATGCTGTTCATAGAGATGGAGTATTCTAGAGGGGAGGGGCATCCAACCGAATGCCTTTGTGTCTTTGGTTTGAAAAAGACAATTGAAAATCAACAGTACTCGGTCTTCATTTTTTCTCTCTCTCTTCTGGCATGGGCTTTGTGATACATTGGAAATATTCCTACTACTAACCTGCCTGAAGCTTCTATGCAGCCTCCTAGAAGTTACCATCTTCTTTAATTTTTGGTGAGGTAATGGGAAGAAACAGTCTTAGACTGGAATCCTGTGGCAGTTTTGAAACAGACTGGTATTTTCGAGAACATTGTCAAGTGCACTTGGAAAGGTAGACAGTGTTGGCTCTTCCCCTTGTCTGATGGTAGTCATTAGACCTCTTAGAGGCCTCATCTCTAGGATGAAAGTAATATGAACTATTTACAGAATTGAAGACCAGATACATTATAAACAGCAGGTGGTACCCAATGTGTAACAAATAATTAGCAGGGTTCCAAATAAGTGTGTCAGAACAATTGCTATTGCAAATTAATTCTTCCTTGAAAGTTGTCACAGTGACTGAACATTGTCTCGTATGTTCTACTGCACCTGCAAAGTCTGTTTATGCATTCCTGGCTCCTTTGCCAGTGTTCAGAATAGACTAAACGAAGTGGCTAGTGGGATATCAAGAATTACCATGGTTTTGCAGCAGTGGGTTAGAGGAGCAGTGGTCTTTGTAAGGGGAGGGAATGTATCAGCCTACCGAAACTTCTAACTGCAGCTACCATATTTTTGTGCTTTGGAAGGCTGGGC